ATTTGTTTGTAGTGTTTATGTGAATTAAGTGTATGAGAAAAGTGCTGGTTTGACAGCAAGTCCTCTATTAAGTAGCGCATGGACAGTGTATACTTCCCCACGCTGCCCCACAACCCTGACCTGGAGGAAGCTGACTCTCTAGGGCGAAGAAGCCAGTTTGGCCTCCATGGTCCACTCAACCCTCAGCCTTCCAATAAGGGAGCCAATTGTGAGGCTATTTGACGTGATGTGGATTATGAATGTCAACCCAATATATTAGTAGATCTTCACTGGCAACAGTAGGCCTTTAGGTCCACTGTACGAATGGGGAAAGAGGCAGCAAAACTATTCCCCCTCCCCCACCTTCTACATATACACCTCTACCCTGCTATAACGCGACCCGATATAACACGAATTCGGATATAACGTGGTAAAGCAGTGCTCCGGGGGGGTGGGGCTGCGCACTCCGGCGGATCAAAGCAAGTTCGATATAACGCGGTTTCACCTATAACGCGGTAAGATTTTTTGGCTCCCGAGGACAGCGTTATATTGGGGATAGAGGTGTACTTGGTGCAAAGAGCCACTCATCCATTCCCACAGATCGCTGAACCGTATGATCAAAATAGCATGAACTCTGAGCATTCGTACAGCAGCAGGAGCATTATTAATGGCATGAACTTTGTCTCAAGTTGGAAGCCAGGGGCTAGACCCCCGGGAGCCCTAAGATACAGATTCCAGTCCTAACTGCCAAGGTTCTATGGGCATCTCACTTAACTTCTCTGCCTGTTGTCCCCACTGTAAAATCAGCTCCTACATACCCCCCCTCCTGAGTAAAGGAGGAAGGCTCTACAGAAGTACAAAGTGTTACTTTGATGAACTAAAAAAAGGAAATAAAAAAGGGATTAATTAGAAATTGGACTTTTTTTATTTCCCTCTCAGTGGGTTTTAGAGTTGCAGCAGCATCTTGTTTTACTGCTCCTAATTTACCATCTGGCAGCATCTAGAGGCCTCAAGCAGGACCAAGATTTCAAATGCGCTAGCTGCTGAACAAACACAGAAAGAAAGAAACCCCTTGTGATTCTCTTGCTTGGGAGAATTCATTCGATTCCAGAACCACATTCAACACTAAAGCATTGATTTCATTTCCATAAAGCTTTAGAAAGAAAGAGAACATGGAAGCCTTAGTGAAGGTGCACATTAGCCTTATGGAAACATGGATTTTCTTTTAATGGCACATTCTCTGTTGTACCCTCTTCTGGTAAATTGGCCTGGGCACTCACACCCAGAGCAAACATAGGAGTTTGATTTCAAGTTATAAGTGAAGCTAGCGTTCATGCAGAGCGCAGCACAAAAATCGCACCCACCTCTTTCTTATTTTAGAAGATTATGCAGAGAATCTGACATTTTTGGCAGTTATTAAAAAACAAAACCTCTCCCAGCAGTGGGTTCTTTTGTTTCTATTGAATTTCAACGTTTTTACCCCAGGGCACTAGGTTACAATCCCAGCTCTGCCGCTGGTCTGTTTGGAGACCTTAGGCAATTTACTTCCTGTCTCTGTACCTCTCTTTCTCTTTGTCTGTTATGCTTATTTAGATTCAGTTCTTTGAGGTGGGGACTGTTTCTTCCTATTTGCACAATGGTGGCCTAAGCAGTTTGGACCTCTGGGTGCTATAAATACAAATAATGCAAAACATTTTTGCTTGCCTGTTTGGTCTGGATGTTGGTTTGCAAGATTGATATTGAGCCTGGAGTATTTTTCTTTTCCTGCCTGGCTACCACATCACAGCCATGCATATCTTAGCCTGGCTTTAAACTATCTCCAACCATGTCTTGCTAAAGTTAAGCATCAAAGCCCCATTCCCAGAGGTACCAAACAGCCAAAGCTTCTACTGACTGACGGGAGCTACAACCGTCCAGCACCTCTGAAAATCAGGCCCCTTAAATATAGAGTTAAATGCCTAACTTTGGGCAGCCAAGATTGAAAATGCAGGCCTTAACACTTCATGCTATCAAACCTAGGGCTGGTCTATACTTAGCCGCTAGTTTGGCGGCTGGAAATCGAACTTCCGGGTTCGATTTATCGCATCTGGTCTGGACGCGATAAATCGAACCAGGAAGTGCTCGCCGTCGACTGCCGTACTCCAGCTCGGCGAGAGGAGTACCGCGGAGTCGACGGGGGAGCCTGCCTGCCGCGTGTGGACCGCGTCTGAACCGCGGTAAGTTCAAAGTAAGGTATGTCGACTTCAGCTACGTTATTCACGTAGCTGAAGTTGCGTACCTTACTTCGACTTGGGGGGTTAGTGTAGACCAGGCCCTAGACTCTTCCTTGGCAAGTGGATACATAATATAAACATGTTCATTTTCTTCTTAATTAATGCTACTTTCCTCTCTGGTTTTAACGGTTGCCCATTTAAGGTATTAGGAGTGTTAAAGAAACAAAGTAACACATTCAAGCCCCACGCTAATCAGATTATTTAAGACACACAGAGATATGTGTGTGTGTGGAATGTGTCACTCAATTGTCACTGTTTACTTGAAGATAAGTAAAACTTCTAAAAAAGAGCGAGGGAGGATTGGATCCTGTGGGCCATGTGCATTTGCAGAAGGTGATGAACAGCTGAGAGAATAAGAAATGATAGATTTGAGAGAGTAGCGGTTTAAGGTGTAGGTGTGGAAAGTAATTTCAGGAGTTAATGGGAACATAAGCAGGCACTCGCAATAAGAGCTTTTAAAGTTGGAAGGGGAAAAAAATACAGATAATTAAAGTGAGGTGGTTGCACAAATTACTTGGGGAGCGAGATCCACTAAGGGACTTAGGCATTGCAACACTGAGCATTGAAGCACCTAACTTTAGACACCTAGGGCAGGTCTTCACTACAGGAGGGGGTCGATTTAAGATACGCAAATTCAGCTACGCGAATAGCGTAGCTGAATTTGACGTATCAGAGCCGACTTACCCCGCTGTGAGGACGGCGGCAAAATCGACCTCCGCGGCTCCCCGTCGACGGCGCTTACTCCCACCTCCACTGGTGGAGTAAGAGCATCGATTCGGGGATCGATTGTCGCGTCCCGACGAGACGCGATAATTCGATCCCCGAGAGATCGATTTCTACCGGCCGATTCAGGCGGGTAGTGTAGACCTAGCCCTAGAAAATCTAGGAACACTGGAATCCACAAAGTTAGGTGCCCAGGCTTCCTGTCCAATGAATGGCGAGAGAGAGGTGCTTAAGAATGCGATCCACAAAAGCCACCACCCTAGGCGGAGAGCCACCTAAGCTAGCCAGTGGGAGATGCTCAGGAGTGGTGTGTGCACTAACCCAGGCTTCTCTCAGAAATAAGGGTCTAGGTCCAGGCTGCAGGGAGGTGCCTGTCTCTGCTAAGCAATCCATGAATGGGCACCTGCTACCTGGAGCCAGCTGGCTCCAGCACCCAAGGCATTTTTTGCAGGAACGAATTAATTGCCTGTCTCACTCCACACAAAACAGGAAAACGAGGTGCCAGTGTCCGCCTTTTAACTTTTAGCCCAGTGGTTAGAGCACTCACCTGGGATGTGGGAGACCCAGGTTCAATTCCCTCAAAGGATTTGGACAGAGACCACCCACCTCTCAGGAGTGTGCTCTAACCACTGAGCTGTGGGATAGTCTGATGTGGCGCTCTCTCGCTTTCTCCTGTTGAACCTGTTCCACTGTGGATCAATAGTGACTGGAGCAGGGGGGACCGCAGCTGGGGTCTTCCATCTCCCAGGTGGGTGCCCTGACCAGTGGATGGTCATTCTGACACTCACGGGAAGAGTAATTTTAAAGTTTTGTTTCTTGGACACCAATAGCTGGTCACAAACACAGGCCGCACCCCTTCACTCAGGAAATGTTTAAAGGCAGTAAATTAGGGCATCCATATTTGATGAAGCAAGTGACAATAATAAGTGACACAGCTTAAAGGACATTTTAGGGCAGGCTTCAGTAGATTGGGATGCTCAGGGCAGGGTATTTCAACAGTGCCTTCGTTCGAATGATCTGACTTTTACAAACAAGTTAAGCCTCATCCTTATTACAGGCATTTCCTCATCTTAAACATGGGAAACCTAAAACCCAAAGAGGTTGTTCTAGGTCACAAAGCAAATCGATCGCAGGGCTGAAAATAGAACCTGGATCCCGTGCCCCCAATCCTGTGCTTTATCCATAGGCCAATGCTGCTGCTCATTCAGGAATAATTCCTTAATGTCTGTAGTCAAGGTTTTGTAAGAGCAGATCCCAACCATCGCCACCAAGAGACTGTGTGCCCAACAGTCCAAAACACAATGTGCAGGTGACTGATTTGGAGGTTAGGTCGTGAAGGACAGAAAAAGCTGCATTTAAAACAGCGAAGAAGCAGACACACTAGGTAGACTACAAGTGGGGTGTTTTTTTTTTTTTAGATTGTAAATAAGGACACAAAAAGGCATACAGAGATTGCTGGAAAGTAAATAGAAAAAAATATCACAAGAAAAAAAAAAAAAAACCAGCAAGATCAAGGCGTTTGGTTTTTAAGGGAT